CGTTCGGTTCGGTAAGTAGTACTACTACTACTTACTTAGTTACGTACTACTACTACTACTAAGTAGTATATATATATATATAATATATATATATATATATATATATATATATAGTGGTCCAATTGCCCTAACTACAAACATGGTATATAGGGACCGTGGCCCTATAATTCCCACCCCAAGCAGTGGAGCCTTGGCTATCTAGTTGGGGCCTGGCCAGGAGTGATGGTAAATCATGTAAAGTTCAACCAACAGTACATGAATTATGTTCTGGATGAAGAGCATACCTGTTCTGAATGTAGTGTGGTTACCCCACCAGGGTGCCAATCCTCTATTGACACACCCATGATCACACGCTTTCTGTATGGATAATTCCCTCACCAGCCCCTCCACCTTCTCGATATGGGATTCTAGCTGTAAGTGTGAGAAGAGATAAGTATGTTTTGGAAGTTAACATTTTCTTAAATAGATAATGTATTTTCAATAATACTTACCTCCATTCACACTCTCCCATCCTTCCTCCCCACTAACTGCCAGTGCTAGAGACTGGGATTGAGTCAGTTTCAAAAAAGTGATAACATTATCTGAATGAGGTGCTTATATAAGGGATCAGGATAGAGGGTGCATTGATGTAGATGGAGAGTGTCACGAGACAAAATCTGCAAAGGCAGTTAAGTGTGGTATGAAAGATTGGAGCAAGCGAGAACAAACTGGACCAATGCTCAGATGGGCAAAGGAAGAAACCCTGGCAGTCGAGTAATAGCTGTAAGTGTGAATAGAGATAAGCATTATTGGAAATACATTTTGGATTTTAAAAAATGTTAACTTTTGATTACATGATTATTTCTGTGACATTAATTGATTTAAGTGTAATTTTGAATAACACAGGATCTCTTCCTCATCCAGAGGCACCTAAATGTGAGGGATTAGATGTAAAAAGATTTGGGAAGTATAAAAATTTGTGAAATTTATTTAAGTTGCAGCATACAATGAGATATGACTATTATAATTTACAGTTTTTGAAACTGATGAAAATTAACCAATTTATGACTGAACACATTGTCAGAAGAAACCCTATAATTGATGAGAGTACTTCTTGCTGTGTAACTTATGGGTCTGCTATGTGAGCCTTCTTCTTCTTCTTCTTTGCCTATCATTGCATCTGTTTTTCAGACCAGAGCCCAATAGATCTTCAACTGGAATTTTGCCACATGTTATTGTCAGTTAATGTTTCTCCTTTAGTTACCTGCATGTGTAAGGTTCTGAGAAGTTCAACTTGCAGCCTGTGCATCTGCTGTGGATATAATTATGTTGGACATTTGACAACCTTTGTTGAGGCAAATCTGCCTATAAAGCCTAGAGATGCTGTGGTGGCACTCAAAAAAATAGTGATAATAATAACCTTCTGCCAGATAAGGAGATCAAGAACATGAAAATTAATAAAGGGATAACAAGTTTGAGTATGTGACTGTTGCTGATAAAGTGAGGCAAACATTCCAAAACCCTGTCTTTAGATTGCTCACAACTCCTGACTGACGTATGTTACCATCATATGGATTTCATATTTGTATATAGCAAATTCAGGAGTTTCCAACTGTGTATTTAATATCTCCAAGAAACAGTTACTGGAGTTTTTGTTCTTTTCTCTGCCACACAAAAACACTAACTTGCCTTTGGTTTTGGGAGAAGTCCTGTGTTAGACAGTTATGTGACACTAATTTATGTATTTCATGCTCTTAGGTATTGAGTTAATTGCCTGGCTCTGTTTATTTATATTTGAATTTTCATATTAAATGAATAATAACCACTAGCTGATAGAGATAAACAGAAGAAAAATGTATAGCATTTTATAGTTAATAAAGAGGTTGCCATCTGTAAGAGTTTGATAAACATTAACTATTTTTGTTTTCACTTGTAGGCATGGAACCAGATGTGCAGGAGAAGTGGCTGCAGCACATAACAACAGTATTTGTACAGTTGGTGTGGCTTTTGAGGCAAGTGTTGGAGGTATGATCATTTTTTAAACATAAGTAACTGTTAAGTATAATATTAATTTTTCTTCATTGCTTTTTTTCCTGCAAGTCTCATGTGTGTAAAAACTAATTTTTCTCAGAAATAATCATATCATTTAACATTCAACAACTAAATAGGCACTAACATATGTTCATTTAAGAAATATTTTAAAATATAAGTAACTACAAGTTCAGTATAAGATCAGTAATAACTTTCCTTATGTAAATCTTGATTTTCACTTCAGATTTGTAAGTGCCAATTTTAAAGTGTCCAACAATTGCTTAATAATCTCACAAATGTCATACAGAATGTTTTAATTAGAAATAGATTTGAAGTAAAGCAAAGTGTTAGAAGCAGTTTTTGAATCATTCACAAATAATTCTCAGATTTAAAACCTGTATATATATATATATATATATACACACACACACACACAC